GGCGGTGGGGGAGATGGGCCAGGTCCCAGGACCTTGGATGGAGCCAGAGGAACCAGAAGCCCCAGGAGGGTTTGGCGGAGGGTGGAGGTCTGCCTGGGTCCGGGCGCCAGGCTGGGCGGCTGGGCAGGCCTCCTGGCTAACCAGGGCCCAGCGTGCACGTACTGGGGCAGTGGGGCTGAGTGAGAACAGGAGTTCGGGCTTCCGCGAGGGGCAGTGGGGGTGAGGCTGGAAGGCTGTCTCAGAAGTCCCTAAAAGGCCCGTTTTTGTTCTCGCCATATGCACGGGGCTTTCACTGCCATCCCATGAGGGGACGCAGACACTGGAGGGGATGTGGGTGGCTTGAGAGGCCGTGGCGCCGGAGGCATGGCTGAGGAAGAGTCTTCCAGACCCCTCTCGTGTGGGCTTCCCAGGGCCACAGCGTAGTAGGGACCCTCCTCCCTGGCCCCGACCCTTCACTTGTGCTTGTGCAGCCGACCTGTCGGGGCCTCCTCCCTTGTCCTCTGCCCACCCTGTCAGCCTGCACTGAGATGTTCCACCTGGAAACATGAAAACCCCTAGGCGGCTCGCCCGCAGCCCCAGCCTCCCATGCGTGCGTTGACCCCCGTCCTTCCTCTCCCGAGTCTTGCTGGGACCCCGTACACCGACTGTTAGCCCGTCTCTCCCAGGACTGCTTCCCAGGATAAGCCGAGACCCTCATGGTGTCAGCCACCACTCAGCTCCCACCGTGCATGTGATGTCCCGGGTGTCCACCAGGCCGCTGGGTGTGTGAAAGGCCACCAGAGCAGCCCAAATGCTCTGCCCACACCTGGTTCTCGGGACCGCGATTCACCAAGAGCAAACAGCATTCTGTGCCAAAAGGGGTTAAAGAATGATGGCTTTGTTTTCCTGTCTGCAAATAACCTGGGAGGACAAAACCTGGGCTGGGAGAGTTCTGTTCTGATCAACAGGCCCAGTGATATCACTGCCCCCCGGCCCTCCCCCCACCCCCCCAGCTGTTGTCTTAGGTGGTTGGAGCCTCTGGCAGTCACTCCTGCCGTCTTCTCAGGGCCCAAGCGCACCCCTCCCCTCATCCCTGCGCTGCGAGAGCATCATCTGCTCCTGGACCAGGGGACATCTGGCATTTTCAGATATTTTTGGTTGTCACAACTGGGGGCGTCCTGTCACCTAGTGGGTAGAGGCCAAGGATGCAGCTAAACACCCCACAGTGCACAGGACAGCCCCCCTCAACAGGAGGGGGGACTCTGCCCCTATCACCCCCAGCCCAGGATCCAGCAGCTCGGGCCCAGTTCCTCAGCACCAGGCCCCTCCATCTCCCCCCTGGCTTCTTGCTTGCCCCCAGGAAACAGGCAGGCCACCACACTGGGGTTTTACCAATTTTATTACTAGATTTTTCACGTTTGTATTTTTCCTGCTGGAAACGTGCCGGTTACATGTCTGTGCTGGGAAATGCCACGGTGTGCAACCAACACACCCAGACCCCAAGTGCCCACCTGCCAGAGACCCTCACAGATCTGCCGTGTTCCCTGGGACCCGCCTCTGGCCTTTCAGCACACCGTGTTCACTCCCCACTAGGACAGCCCCTCCAGGACCCGGTTTGGTTCAGACGCCACAGCCAGAATGGTTGAGGTAAGCGGAAGCCATGTTCCCGCAGGGCGGGGCGGGTCCCGGGAGCATGCGGGCTTGACCCCACCGGGGCCCCCAGGGGTGCACATCCTTTTGGTTCGGCAGCATGCGAGGCGACTCGGGCACAGGCACTGTTCGCGGGCTTCAGCGACATCTGGAGCGGCTTTAAATTAGCATCGTGCCGTCACGAGCACAACAGCCTGTAGCGCTAGTACATAATCCGAAACTCGGACGGCTCCAGACGCTGTTCCCTTATCCCGAGTGACCACAGGGGCACGATAAGACATACTTGTTACAATAATAATAATAATAATAATAATAATAATGCAACTTTCATAGCTACACGCAAAGAACAATACAGCTGTAAAACGACTAGGATGGCAAATGCCGGGTCGGGTGGAATCCAGCATTAACAGGCGCAGGGAAAGGAAACGGACACGGCGGGCCTCAGAGATGCCGGGACGGCCGCCTCCCACGGCCCGGGGTCCATCCCCGCCGGGCCCCTCTGGGGATCTCGTCCGCGTGTCTGTTTGCCGAAGCAGGAGGCCGTGGGCCAGACAGAGCCCGACTGCCTGGTCTCCACATGGCTAAGTGAAGCCTGAGGTATCACGGAACAGCAACCTTTTTGGAATAGAGCAGTAATCACATTAAGTCAAAACTGATCACATAACAAAAAAAAAACCTACAAAAAAAAAAAGGCATCCGTAATACATTTTTTTTCTATGAGAAAATTAAAAACGAGAACATGGCAGTATATGACACTGTAAAACAAACAAACAAAAACTGATCCTCCAATAGCAGCAAAACATTGTGAAAGATACAGAGAAGCGCTGTGAATCTGTTTCCAGACCGTGCTGGGAAGTCCTGGATCGGTAGCAGCGAATCAGAAAGCGGGGCGGCAGCCTGCCCCTCCGTGGTCCCCACCAGCCTCCCTCCGCACACTTCCTCCCTCACATCCTCTCCCAGCGTCAGCCTGGGCGCTCTGGCCACCTCCCTTCCACACTCCCTACATAATAATTACAAAAAGGTACACAGCCAAGATGTGCAAATTGTCTATGGGTTGCTAACATTGCTTTAAAAAGGGGCAGGGAAAGAACGTACTAGAACTGAACTTGACTCGAGCACCCTAATTTTCCTGCAACTCAGATGCCTGTCTGATTGGATTCACTTTGGGATATGCCCAACAGGCCGAATCGAAGTCTTGGTTTTTTCCGGGGGATTTTTTCCCCCCCTGTCCTCTGAAAGGACCTAACTCTTATAAACTGCATTGAAACCTGCAAATAGGCAGCAAGTTATGTGTGTTTAAATCAAGGGGAGATTGCATCACTTTATAAATCATACTGGCCTTAACAGACATCCTCTGCAATAAATAGTCTTTTTAGCCTTAACTATAAATTATATATTTTAGTGTTTAAAAACCTTCCTAACCCTTAAACTAGGCGTCCTCTAGGTAAACCTTTAAGGCCCCTACTTTCAAACACCAGTTGGCACCAAAGGGTCCCTACACGTCCGCTTCTCTACGGAAAAAGGAACGTCATCCTGGCAATGCGAGAATGCACATTTTCTTCTTTCTCGACTGGAACCGAGTCCCTTTCCCAAACACCCCCTTTCGCTAACACCGCACTGACATGCACTGTCCTTGCACTCCTGCCTGCACACAAGTACGTGAATATCCAAAACCATTCCACTAAGAAACTGCCCCCCTCTCCACACACAACATACACGAGAGATCTCTCCTATAACTACTGGACTGAAAGTGCTTTTGAAATGGAACGGTTTTAGAATATTGAGAAAACAAACAAACAAACAAAAAAAGCTGTGGATTTCACCCGGATATGAGCAGGCTGCAGGTCTGTTGGGTGAACGCCCAGCATCTCCTAAACAGGTTAACTACAAAACTATGAAGATTATAAAAAATAGAATCTGTTACGTCGCTATCGCGGCTGTTCTTTCGAGTAGCATCCACGAGGAGTCGGACAGTTGGCTTCCCGTTACTGCCACGCCGGCTGGCGCCCGACACCCCACTCGGGGGCGGGGGGGCGGTCCACGGGCAGAAAGGACTCGCACTCGGCGATGAACTGTATGCTACTCTAACCGGCAGGTTACATCAGCCATTGACAAGGTGAAGAGGTTACACGCCTACCTACGAAATAAAATAAACACGCACAAATGACTTATAAAGTGACTACATGCGTGAGCAAGCGAGATACTGGATGCCTAGAACCGCCTTAAAGCTCTGCTCCGTGGGAAAAGCACAAGAATACGTATTTCTACCTAAAAACCTTCTACGTTAAAAATGGTTTAAGGTTTCTATTTTTTAGAACGTTTTTATGCTTTTTTTTTTCCTTTAAACACGTAAAGAACCAAATCTATCCCTCCCCTGCAGACTTTCTTTGTGTTAATGCCTAGCCTTACAATACAGAGACACAAACACATTAATATAAAAACTAGTTGATTATGGGGTATAAAATCCTATTTTTGTAGCAAAACCCTCCTCCCCTCCCCAGCTCTGGGTTATGCAAATACTATTTTTTTTCTCTCTTTTTTTTAAAAGACAGTTTTCGGGTACTTTTTTTTTCTTTTGCTTAAGTCAGAGATGGAAGGGGGAAATAGCAAAGGAAAAAACCGACAGCCAGGAGGAGGCTGCCCGTTCTGGCCGTGAGCGGTCCTGGAGAGGAGCTGCCTGTCGGGGGCACCCGGGCCGGCCCCTCCCTCGCCGGCCGTGGACACCCTCAAATGTTCACATCCCGCACGTCGGTGGGCGTGCAGGCCAGGTCCAGCTCCTCCTCCTCTTCCTCCTCCTCGGCGGCCTTGGGGTCCAGGTCCTGCTGCTGGGCCTGGCGCAGGCTCGACTCCAGCAGGGCTTCGATCTGCTCCTGGCAGGCCCGAAGGCAGTCCTGGCGAGACAAGGGGTATGGGGCTCAGAAGGAGGCCTGTGTGGGGGGTGGGGCTCATCCCGCGATCACACAAGTGAGCTGATCTAAGGCCACCCCCGACCCCAGGATACACCAGCTGCTCCTGGCCGAGTGAGAGCCCCACGCAGGACTGAAGACCACAGGCTGCAGGCCATTCCCCACCACCCTCCCTGCGTCCCCAGCAGGGCCCTGGCCTCTCGCTGGAATTCCTCTGCCGGGCTCTGATCCGACCCCTTTTCTGTCCTCGGCGCATTCAGCCATTTGATCCAGGACAGGGAGGCCCTCTGAGCCCTGCTTTTTGGACTTAACCTCTGCCATGTCAGCCCCGCGGTGAACCCAGCCTTCTGTGATGAATTGCCGTCAAAGCGTTAGGCTGTGCATGACTGAGAATGAATGTTGGGTGGCCCGGGGGACCGGGACCTTTATCCGCCTCCGCCCTCCTGTCCGGCCTGCATCCTGGGGGATGCACGGGCCTTGCCTGGTGCCCATCCGCAGCAGCCTCCCCGTGGCTGCCACCACCCTGCATTGTCAGTGGTGGGGGAGGAATCCTGGAGGCCAGCGACTGCTCCTGGTCTTACCAGGGACAGATCTCCCAGCAGTGTGGAGGTACCCTTTGCAGCCAGGTGGCCTCATAGCGCCAGGTGTTGGAGCCACCTGTGCCAGCTCCCAGGATGCCATACTTGGAATTCTAGAACCAAGTCTGCAGACCTGTGCCTTTCTCTCAGGAACAGGAGGTTCAGCCATGGCCCAGACACGGGATAGGTGCTGCTGAACTTTAACCAGTGGGGCTGGGGTTTGTCACCCAAAAGAAGTGGCTCCAGGCCAGAGGGCTTCAGTGATCCCTGGGGACCACCCACATTTCCAGAGCTCCAGACCTTTTCAAGGAGGGCTATCCGCCCCGCCCCTCCTTTAATAGTTATCGCAGCAGATTAGAATGCAGGGCAGGTGCAAATAGCCCCTCCTCCCAGCAACTCTCTCGAACCTGCAGCCCCATCCTATGAAGAGCTGACTTTGGCCACTGAGAGTCAGCTCTGGAGAAGGGCAGACAACCTGGGGCCCCTGCCACTGAGGGATTTGTGTCTGAGCCGAGACGTGTGTCACCAGGTGCCCAGACGAACACATTTCAGCCTGGATGGATAGCTCCCTGTCCGTCAGCCGCGAGGCATTTTGATTCAGATCTAATTAAAACAGGCTCTATTCAAATAGGGATGCAGTCATTTCCTACCACTGTCTGGACAGCATTCTGTTAGTGGCATTTCTAGTGAGGGTTCCCCATCTCCCGGTGGCTGCCTGAGGGCACGAGTGATGGAAGCACCGGGGGCCCCCTCCAGGAGCTGCCCACATCTATGGGCAGGAATGCGTCTTCCTCTGGGGACACACACAGGCTGGCAACCAAGCACCGCTGGCCAGAGGCTAGGCAGGTGTCTGTCTCACACCCTACCTTCGCTAGTCGTGCTGGTGAGGTGGCACCCAGTGGGGTCCACGGAGCCTTCCACAAGCTCCAGGGTGGGCCACCAGAAGGCAGCCAGACCTGGACTGGGGTCAACACGGTCCCGCACTCCCAGGGGCGTGGCTGACCCACTAGCCACTCTTGTCTAATTGGGGAGATGCCACAAACCCTTGTCATTTGTTACTTTAATTCTTTAAGGAGAGAAAAAAAATCGGGAATAAGACAATGGCATTTCTGAGAAGACACAATCAACTCGGGCTTTAAGAGAGGCAGCCTCTCAAAGACGGCCATAAAAAACAAGGTTGTCCGGACTGGGCCCATTGTCACGACCCGAGACCTCACAGGAGCCCTTTTAAAGCAACTTTTTATTGGCCAGTCACACTGTGGCCCAGACAAAGCTCGACCGGGCCCCAAATCCACCCCCCGTCAGGGCACGGGTCATCCCTGTGGGGCCTGCCCTGTGGCTCCCCCTTCCTGCACAGCTCACCCTGGGGGCCTTGATGGCTCCTGGGAGCCCTTGGGAGAGGTGGATGAAACTGGCGCACTGCCAGCCTGTGACAGAGGACCCCCACATGGGACCAAGCCGTCATCTTCGGGGGCATTGGCACAAGCCAAAACCTTTCCCATTAGCGAACGCCAGCTTCCGCACCCCAGATGCTGGATGTTTCTAGTACCCGGGGCCAGGCTGGCTCCCCTGAACCAGCGCGGGAGCAGCGCATGTGATTACTTACCGGGTCACACTTAATCACTTTGGAGAGGAACCGCGTGAGGCGGTGATAAGACAGGAAGCTGTTAGAACTTCCCAGGTGCAGGCCTTGCACTGCCGCCACCACGCTCCCAGCAGCCACCATGGAGGGCGGGTTGGAAATGAACTTCACGTCTGTGGCAAAGGGAGAGAGGCAAGGGGCCCATGAGCAGGGCCACTCCACAGGACCGTGATCTAGGCAGGTGCCAGGCCTGTCCCAGCAAACGGCTGGTCGGCTCGTGTGGGAGGACCCCCCTGCCCAGGGGAAGGTGGGACCCTCTGCTTCTCTTAAGGGCAAGCCGACCTGCAGGCCCCTTGCAGCCTCATTATGGAAAGGACGCTTATGTGGTGACAGCAGCACCTGTGGGCTGCCGCCTAGTTGCACTGGACAAGGAATTAATTGGTAGGGGGAAGCCACCGATTTCAGCACCTTAATTAGGGAGTGGGGGAGGGGCCTTCAGCCTCGAGCTGGGCACCTGTGAGGGACGAACGTGGCATCTTTGTCGCCCCCCCACTGCCTCATCTTGTACCATTGAGTACTCAGGAATAGGGGGTTCGGGTGAGCTGAACGGGAGGAGGTGGGTAGCCACAAAGGGAACGGGGCCCCCTTGGGCTGGGGCGCACAGCCCATCCGAGTCTTCATCCCAAGAGAATAATCAACTTGGCCTTGTTAAAGGGGGCAGGCGCCAGCCAGGGGGTCCGGGAAGAAAGACAGCCACCCTGAAGGGGCGACAAAGCCGGCTTCTGGGCGCTGTGGTTTAAAAAAGAAATCCTAACGAGGCTCGTCACCTCTTTCCCCCACTAAATGGGGGCAATCCACCCCGTCTGAGAGCCGGGGCCATGAATGAAATGCCTTTCACAGAGGCCCGTCGGGACTGCACGCAGACAGCGCCGTGGCCGGAGCACCAGGTCTGACCAGCCGGACCTCGAGACCCCGTCTAAAGGGACGGAATAATTGGGGCAGACTCGTTTCCGAAGCCTGTCCCCCGCTGGAGTGTGTGTGTGCTGGCGGGGGGGCTTATGTTTAGATAAGGCGCAATCCAGAAACTCCAATCGTTGTTCCTATTCAGTCTGGTTGTAAAGAGCTGAGAGGGCCCGCCGAGAACGAGCAGTCAGTGACACTGCCGACCCTCGCAAAGGCCCGTTCATTAAGCTCAGTTATGTGCCAGTGTCACACGGGCCTGGCAGTTCTTCTAACCCACCACAGCACAAGGAAAGGCAAAAGCCAGCGCCGTGTGTGGGTGATGTGTGCACACGTGTGGGTCCTCAGGAACCCAGGTCTTCAGGGTGCAAGGCCCCCCTCACAGCACCTTGCAACAGGACCCGTGCCATATGAGGGCCAAAAAAATTCTTGGACTTTTGTTCATGCCCCCACCTCCCGCAGCCCATTTGTTTTTGAGCTTCAACGATGTCACTCTCATCTTGAGAGAGGTCCCCTTGTAACCAAGGGCACAGCTGTGTCTCAGTTATGTCCAAGTGGTGGAGGCATGGTCAGAACCAGGGCCCCGAGCATCTAAGGGACCTGGGGGGCGGTGCCATGCCCCTCTTCTGGCCTGAGGTCCTGCACGGGGCCCTGCCCTGGGAATTCATGTATGCGAAAAGCTGGGTCACCCCACGTGGGCCCAGGGCTCACACACATCAACCCACTGCAGCTTGAGAACTGGCACCAGAGCCTGTTTGCAGCCCCTGCACCAGGCTTCCCTCACTGTCAGCACCCCACACCGGCTACGCCCCCTGCTTTCCCAGGGTCCCGGGAGAGGGCCAGCGCCGGGCCACCCCGACCATCCTAGGGGGAGGGTGTACAGGAACCATTCCTTGCACTATCTCCAGGAAACACTGCCCATTTCTCCAAATCACTTTCAGCTCCATAAAAGGCTGCCTGGCAGTCTCCAGAGGCCTCTCTCCTCAGAGGCGCCCCAGCCAGGGAACGTCCCTGCCTGCTTGCGGGGCTGGCCCTGGAGGCTGAGGAGATAGCTGGTGGGAGGCTCCCCAACCCCACCCAAAAGCCAGAGCTGGACCGCCTGGGGAGGGGCCCCCCCACCCCTCAGACCCATCCAGGCCAACGATGTCCTTGGCTTTTCCATCTGTCCCCCCACGCCTCGCCTGGAAGGACTGAGAGGAGGGCGGGGAGGCCAGCAGTCTTCCCAACTCTCGCCTAACCCAGAAATACCAGCCACCAGAGACCCCAGACATCGTAGGGGGCAACGAGATGCCAGGTCGGGGGCTCCACCCCTTTTGGGGGTGGGGTGTGTAGGGGGGTAGAAAACACCAACTTCCCCCTTTGACAAAGTGTGGCCCTCCAGCTGCCCAGAGTAAGCCCCAAACAGATGTGACAGCTGAGGCCTGGCCGGGGGCAGAGGCAGCCCGCAGCAGAGCTGGGTGGGCTGAGGGCATGGGTCCCCCCCGCCAGCGTCTCCAGGTCTCCTGGGCCCAGCTCATGCGCTCAGAGGGGAGGAAGGAAGAGGCCAAGAGGGTCAGGGGAGGGCTAGGGGACGCTGGAGGCAACACCGTGCGTGTGTGTGTGCGTGTGTGTGTGCGCGCGCGCACTGGGTTTGAAAGGCTGGCTGCCAGGGGCCGGGACCAGGGCAGTGCCAGGGAGAGGCCTCTAGGGACCACCCACAGCTGTGCCAGGGGAGGGAGGGTTTCCCCCTGCTGCCAACCACAGCAGCAGGCTGCTCCAAAGCCCCTCCCAGGGCTCAGCTGAGGCGCCCCTAGTGGGGCCTCAGGCAGCTGGGCTGCTCTGGTGGCCGCCCCCGCAGAAGGGCCAACGCTGAAGCTGGCCGCCCGGAGCACGTGGTGCAGACACTGCAGGCCTGCACTCCCCACCCCTGGAGGCGCCCCTGGCAGGTGGCCCAGCCTGGGAGAAGCCAGGAGGGGGGCCCCAAAGCTCAGGCTCCTTGAGGATACGGGAAGGACGGGGGGAGGCAGGCCTGCTGGCCAAGGTGAGCCCCTTTTAACATTGAGGGGCCATAGCCTGGCCCCTGCCTGGTGTGGGAACAGTATCCACGGCAACTGGATGCAGACAGGCCAGCCTCTGCACCCCGGGGGGACAACGCCCACCTCCGTCAGCCCGACCAGCAGCCCGAGGCTTCTGTTCAACAGAGCCGGGAAAGGAGAGAGCTTCTGAGAGCAGGCGGGGTCTGGGGGCCCTCTGCTCAGATGGGGAAACCGAGGTAAAGGGCAAGGAGCTCTGCCAGGGAGGCCAGGCCGGCAGGGCCCAGTCACCCTACCTGTGGCACAGAGGGCAACGAAGGTCTGCGCGTGTTTGCGGATGATCTGTTTGTTGTCCTCCGCCACCGGCATTTTGGAGAGGAAGTGTTCGATGAAATCGTGCGGGGTCATGGCGGCCAAGTTCCACTTGAGTTTGTTCACCAGCAGCAGCTCCATTTGCTGTGGAAATGGGGTGGGCAAACATAAAGAGAGGTGCAGGGGGGCAGCTCCTGGAGGGGCTCGCGTGGGATCGGGGCCTGGAGGGAAGGGAGGGGGATGTTGGGAAGTGGGGGGAAACATGCCGTCTCAGATAAAAAACCTTGAAGGACCCGCTTGTAAAGGCTCCTGCTTATCATTAAAACACTTCACAAGCGGAGACAAGCAAGACCTCCAGCACATGGAACGCACGCAAGGCCTCGTCCTCGGGTGCGCCTCCGCCGCTAGAGGGCGCGCGCCGCCCACTTTTCGGCCGCGCTTGGGCCCGAGACGCGGTGGGAGTCGCCGCGAAAGCAAGTGTGAGGCGGGGAGGGGGTCCCGCCAGGTCCTCGGGAGGGGCCCGGGCAGTTTGGCCTCCCGCCCTCCGGGCACAGGGTCTGTGCGAGGCCGGCCGCCCCCCC